AAGCTACAGTGACGTCATGTGAATCGAATGAATAGAACATTCTGTAATCTTCCATGGTATGTCTGTTGAACTAAATGAAAAAAAGTGCATCAAACAGTCTTACTTGGTCCAATTTTCTGGTAAGGTTCAACTGGCTCCTCCTCTTTAAGGCCGTCCACAGGTAACACTACCTGTTCATATGGATCTGAGAGAGATGAGGGAGAAATAGACACTTATATTAAATATTCAAACATAATCACAGAACGTGTATTGTAGAAAGAACTGAAAAAAGTTAAATACTGTGTCCATAGATACACTTGACTAGCAACCATTAGCTTCTTGGACACATCATATGAAAACGTAAGCCACCATTTATTTTAGAGCACATTTTTGCTCTTTTTTACTTACAGTTGAGTGTGGCAAGGCTATCCCAGTGTTTACTAACAGATGTACAGTATACCTTCTCTCTACCATCCTACCTACTACATCATCCCATCGACTTCATACAACTTAACTGCTAGTTAGAAGGGGATACATGTAATTTTGGCAAATTATTGTTCGTTTGAAATAGTGGGCTTTATTTACCTATACTTAAGTGGGAACTAGCCTGTCTGAAATACACTCAACCTAAGACAGACAGACTAGAGTTGGGCCTTCGCTAATTTAAGTGTATTTTGTATTTGTTCAAGTAAGTTCCTGATCTACTCTTCTTTACCATGCTACTCAGCTTTTGTTACTACTGTAGGAAGTAGACACTCTGCAACAAGTGGACAGTGTGAAATCTTATAATATACTTTCGAGTTCAAGTTTTGGAAGTTTCAAAGAAAAATTGTCACACAAATTTTCCAAAAACTCCTGGTTACCGTCAACTGCATGCAGGTCACGGTGCTCCTGGAAGCAGCTGTAGTATTTATACTTCTTGCCACAGATGTCACAGGAATAACGGAAGCTACCTGCAGATGAACAGAGAAAGAGAGAGAGATTGTTTATGATTTGTGTTGGATGTGTGACTGGCACACAGGCAGGCAGATAATGGATATTACTGGCACTGAAAACCAGTATTTTGGGGGTGACTGAATAACAGTGTCACAGAGAGAGGAGCAAAGTTCTGTTTTTAGTCACTCTGCATTATAGAAATGGATAAGTGAACAAACAAATAACATTAAAATACATAAGGAAAAGATTTGATTGCATTTGGACAGACAAGACAGAGGGAGGATTAATGAGATTAGATAAACAAGACAAATAGGCAGATGAATCCCTGTGGGAAAAGTGAGATAAAGGTTAATAACGATTTGATTATTTTTATGAGTAGCATTTCCATATAAACAAAGCCAAAAAATATATATGCAATATATATTCAAAACAAATTCCAATGTAAATTAGTTTATTGAATTAAAAAGTGTTATAAAGTATAAAAAAGAATAAGTATTAAAGTACAATATAAGGCAGGGTTTGTTAAGTATTGAAAGGGAAATTGTCATTGCATTATTATCAGGAATTTGTCAGACCGTACATACTGCTAGCACATGATTCAAACTGGAATACTGAATTAAAATGTTGTTATGAACTACATCATGCAAAGTCTGTACAGGGCCACGAAGGATGCCGATTACTTGTTCTGCTCTTGTTAGTTTCATTGCAGTGGAAAGCATCGTGCAGCCAGGTGATGACAAGAATACCTGCCTTTTTGCACACTACAGTAAAGTCTGAAGGCAATCTGTTGCATAAACAGCATCGCACAGAGCAACTGTAAGACAAAATCTATTTTAAACCATGTCTATAGTTGGTTCAGGTTTAGTCTTCTCGCCATAATAATATTTAACTGATGTTGCCCCAGCAGAAGGCCCCTCACCTTACACACCCATGTGACAAATGTTTTATCATTTAGCAGCTGAGCGATTGAACCTCCAGTCCATTCTGCCTCTGGTAATTCAATCAGCTACATCTTTGGCTGAATTCCTGAGGTATTTTAAATATGCATTTAAATACTGTACAAAATGTTTTACAGCACAAAATAAAATAGTCGGCTCTGGACTGATTTTGTAAGTCTGCTTGAAAAAAAGATTTTTTTTGGCAAAATGTATTTTCAATATTTTAGAAAAAAAAGTAGATGGCTGTCTTATAAAAGTGATGCAAAGAGGGCAGAGAAAAGCCAACAGAGTTGATTTAAAACAACTAGTTTCTCCACTTTCCCAGCAAAAGCATCCCTGCAATTTATGCTTAATTGGCAACAAGGAAATACAGCTACAAAAGCGATTATTAGGGTGCCTAACTGTAATTGCATTTACAACACCTCAAGGCTCCAATACCATGCATATTCTATAATTCCCCACCAATTAACGTGATTAAAACTATTTTCCGCAAATGTGAGGGTTACTGACATTTGTCAGTGTAATTAAACCTCACACAACATCACTGCTCCAAGCATAGGACACATTCTGAGTAAATCAATAACACAGTAACAACATAGATAACTGCTTATGGATGCATGATCCTTGTAGGTTGGACTTTACTGTGATGTTTCTGTGCACTGGCTATTACACAGACACACACTAACACTCCCAAAGAAAGCAAGGACAGTTAAAAGACAAATTCAATCTGCAACCAGACTACTTAGTTTCCCCTTTATTTTCAAGTGAATTACAAAACAAGCAAGCCAAAAGTCCAAACTTTGTCAACCTTGAATGTCCTCTAATTTGGCTCAATAATAGTTAAAGCTGTTAAAGGTTATATCCCACTGGTTTTGATGGATGACTAAAATATTTCAGAAAACCCAGCCATTATTCAAATGATTATGCAAACTGGTCTTTGATTTCCACTGGATAAGCAATAAAAGCCACGACATGTTTCACATTTAAATGCCAAAGTACAATTTGCATTTTCACGTTTAGTTTGCATGCTGCCAATTTCACAAAGCTAAGATGCAAAATCCATTTTCCATTTGATTTCACAATGAATAGGACAGAGTTATATTTTGGAATACACTTATAATTACTTATAAATTGATTTTTATGTTGACCATGGTGTAAAAATAAGAATCTGAGAGTGTGTGTAGGAAGTTTCATAACCACCTCTCATGCTGAGCTCTCGGGTATTCTTAGTCTAACTTTCAGTATGATTCCAAAGAGAATCAAAATAATCCTACTGTAATTGCATCATGTGAATGGGACCACTTGGTTGACGCAGCAGGGTTACCAACTCAGGGGCTTGAGCAAAAAACATTTAACCTGGCAAAGAAGTTGAACCTAGCTCAACTTTTGTCAGACTGTCATCTGACAAGGCTGCATTGGCTAATCAAATACTTGAAATTACTGGTAAATTACTTTGTAACGTGAATGCAGTATGCCTGCTGTTACCTGGCAATTAGTATGACAGATAAAAGATACAAATTAATTAGTTATCAGTGTGATAACGTTCTCGTGTTGTAAAATCCTGCCTAGTATAGTATTATAAAACTCTGCAGTGTTTTGGTGTCTGTGATTTAAATAGATCCATGGCCTATTAGTCCAACTAGACTTCCTGGATCGCATTTTATTGTCTCAGTAATACCTGAATTAAAACACCCCCACCAACGCCTGCATTTTTTTTTTTTTTTAAACACAGGGTTGTTTTTGGTCTTAACACCCACTTAGTCACAACTTTGGAAAGTTTGTTCTAGCTGAGCTCCCAAAATACTCTCTTCAACTCCAAGAACTCCTCCACAACACTACAGCCTGTGTTGTGTTCTTCTTTTCAAACTTATCATATGCCCACAGTCTTTCAACAGTGAGATCATTTACAAGCCATATTAACTGGGAAATCCAGGCTTATTATCAGCTGCCCTGGCTTAATTTTCCAAGTTACAAGTCCAAGTTACTAAGTCCAGAGTTAGTTGCTATAATTACCAATCATTAAGAACAAGTCTGGTGTTAAGCAGGCTGAAAGTCAAGTTTACATGCCATCTTTACTTTCTACATATCTTTACTTTGTTGTCCTAAACCTGAGCTTTAAAAAGTCATGTAGAACAGATTCTTCCCGAGGCAATCACTCCATTTATTTATCTATATCAAATTAACTGCTACTAAAACATGTTGTAATTTGCCCAGCTTGTTTTATCTTTACTTGCTGCCTCGTTCTTTTGGAGCAACTTGGACTGCTCATAGAAGCCAGTTACATTTCAAATACACTACATAAATTGGCATGCCAGTCATTATCAAGTGTAAATATGTGGCATGAACCAATATGCTTTACAGGATGTTCCATCCTCTTAAGAATTTAATCTATCAGCATTTTTATTTTTATTTTTTTCAAGCAGCCTCTCTGGCCTACTTATTAACACGGTCACAGACCTTTTGGTTACACTGTATTTGTATTCCTCATACAGCCCAAAAGTATTACTTTTGTTCTGTCTGCATAAAAATGATTACTCTTTTCTCCCTGCTATGTTGATAGTGCTGCCTTTAAGCTATGTGCACATTCATGTAATGATTGCTGAGAGTGTGTGTAGGAAGCTTTATAAATAACTCAAGTACTACACTGAGGTAGGAGTATTTTTAGTTCTAATCAAACTTTCACCGTGATTCCTAGGAGTGATTTTAAGATGCCTGATAAATGCAGGACCAGGCAGCTGATATGAAATGCAATTAAAAGAACAACATCCCCATACATGCATACTTTTATAGAGTACTTACAGCATTACCTGAGAGTCAAGTGTGTGAGTTTTTTGGCTGTGAGGACACAGTATTAAATTTGTTCCGGTGAAATAATTCTGTTAAACTTTAACTAAGCTAATTTCATTAGCAAAATATTGTGACAATCAGAACACTGTGTCCACATATGACATGATTGTGCCAGAAATGCTGAGGTTAAGCTGGATGTTGCCTTGAGTGCTGAAACAGTTCGAGTTCCTCGAGTAACTCGTTTACTAGAAATCAGGCTTTGTCAAATCCATATAACTATATACAGCCGTACAGTGCATTGTCTTTTGCACAGATGATTATTACTGTCGCACAACATGCTTTAAAGAGAGAGGGGCGTAGAGACAGGCCAGAGAAAACAACACAAAGTGTCCAGAGTTGAAACTAGAGATGTTCCGATACCATTTTTTCCCTACCGATACCGATTTCGATACTTGCACTGTGGGTATCGGCAGATACTGAGTACCGATACCAGTATGTTA